TCACCAGTGCCATAACCATGCGACAGCAACACAAAGCTGGGTGCTCAAGATAAGCACTCATTAAACTTAACCACTAAAACCATAAGTGCTGTACCTTTGTGCTTCATTTCACAGTGGTGTGCTTAAAAGGACAGCAACAGGCAGGTGTTGTAGCTTGGAAGTTGTTTGAATGCAGTTGGTTTGGCTGTGGCTCCAGGCTGGCAGCTTGGTCAGTGCCTCCTCTTTAACCTCGGGAGAATCGTGTACCCTGAGGACACACACTGATAGTAGGGCCACGAAGGGGATTTAGAAAAGAGAAAAACTATGGACAGACTGGAACCATTCTCTGGTTCAAGGTGATGTCCATGAGCAGAGGATGTTCCACTGGGGAGAAGCAGGTGAGAAGAGGGAGCACAGGCTGCCAGGCAGGTGTAAGTGAAGTATGTGCCCATCCTTACATAGCCTAGAGGATCCTCAATAAAAATAAAAACTGGAGAAAATTGCAGCAAGACTTCCAGAAACTAAGCCTGCTTTAAGCAGTGTCCCTCTTCCACCAACCCTGGCAGGGTGCTGTCTAAATGTAGCTCCTTAATGGATGTGGCTACAGCTTGAGGGCAGCTGGCCAGACCAGTGGCCTTCTCAAGTAGCAGGGTATTTGGCACAAAGACCCACTGGAATTCAACCCTAACATTTACCTGACCACAGAGGTGCCAGTTAGCCACTTGTCCCCAGAGAGCATCTGCTGCTTTTCAAAAGCAGCCCCTGAGCCCTTGGACAACCCTGCCTTCCGTCTTTCAAACAAAGATCTCAAATGCTTGGGCTCCACCACCTTCCACACACCCAAGTCACACTGTCAACACACTGTGGAGCAGCCACAGGGCTGTCCCAGCTGTCAGGGCTACCTCTGCACCCTGCAGCATGGCAAGCTTTGGGGTGGAAAGGGGACAGACCTGAGAAGTGTCACCTCACTACAGCTATTGCATGAACACAACCCCCGGGTTCCTGTCTCACATCACCCCTGGGCTGGTTCCTCCCAGTTCAGCCACAGCACAGCAGTGGTTTGTACAACTGAAACAGAAGCACTCAGCAAAGGAAGCTGAGGCACAGCTGATAAGCAAAGCACTTAGCACAGGATATGTGTTAATGTCTCTGGGGAACAAGTTTAAATGTGATAAACCACCCAGGAAGAACTTGAAGTGTGGTCTCTAAAAACAACCAGGGAAAACTGTACTTAAACCTTACACTGTTCCTACCACTTAGGAAACAAGATGAAGCTGAAGGCGTTAACCCTCTGCCCCCCCGAGAGCTGCATAATTTATGGCCATATGGAAGGAAAAGAACAGCTGCTTTTTGACTCTCCACCAGCTGTATTCTTCTCAGCAGAGGGAGCACATGCAGCCCCTGCACACCAGGCACTGCCCACACCTGCCTGTTTCAGCTCAGGACCTGGCATCCCCTGGGCTGTCACCTGAGGTGTTATTTTCAGAATTTCTCTATGCAGTGTCAGGTGGTTTGCTCTAAATATAGAGAATATAGGGAATACTCTTAAAAGAAGGGTCCCGTTAATCCAAAATGCAAAGCAATCCTCTACTGAACCTCAGGGTCACTGGCATGCTGGCCTGGGAAACAAGGAAATAAAGGAATCGCTTGCAGGTCCTTTTTAAAGGGAGAGCTGGCAGTGACCAGTGGGGAGCTGTGCTCTCCCACTGCCAGGCTGGGGCACGTGCGAATGAGTCTCACTCTCTAATTCAAAAATTAATCTGTTGATAAAATGGAAGCTTCTTTATTTAGAACCAGAACGGCTCCAAGTTCCTCAGACAGTTGCCAAAAACATTCCCAGCGGTCCTATTGCCACCATGTCTGAGCACATCCCAATCATTATTCAATCTTCACAGTTCCCCAGTGAAGCAGCGATGTGCTCTCAAGCAACAAGCTATTCCAGCCCTCAAACACTGCCCCCAGGGCTTGCTTTGGCACTTAACACTCAGCCAAGGCTAACGAGGCTCCACTGCCCAGAGGAAGGCTGAACACTTGGGCAGAGTTTAAGCACTGAACTCCAAACCTTTCGAAACCGAGCAAGAGAGCCCTGTACAGTCTGTAGCTGCCTTATGCTCTGACCTTTCAGTTATATTCTGACCTCTTCAATTATATTCCCAGCACGGCTATGTCCCCACCTCAGTAGCTGGATACCCTTCTCAAGCCCAAGTGCCCCCAAAACTTGAGGCTTTCTCCTGCTGCAGAGGATCCCCCCTGGGGCAGGGCTGCCTGTGGGGTGCAGGAATGGGTGCTGCACTCTAACTTGTTGGTTGCAGCACTCCAACCACAGCATCTGCTCAGAAGACTCTTCAACATTTTATATGACAGCACAACATCAAATCCATGGGTCCATGCCCCAGAGGACACTTCCCTGAAGAAGATGAGAAAGAAAAAATATAGCTGGGAGTACAATGAAATGATGCTCCAGCAGCCATCAGTCTCGTGGGCTGAAGTTAAAAAAGAAATGTCTTCTTATATATTAATTGAATTGATTGTTCTTTTAAACACCTTCAAAAAGTTTAAAAATGATACCACAGATGTCAGATTTTGTTCAGACACGGATCTTGCATGATGTCTATCTGCATCACACAAGCAAACCCTGCGTCATGCCATGCAAGAAGCCTCATGATCCTGCTTGTCCTGGGAGGCAGAGAGTGCAGCTGAACAGCACACAGTGACTCCCACCCCAGTTCTGAAGAGACTCAACGTTCCCACCAGAGCCTCATGAGCACCACTGTTCCCAGGCTCCTGGTGTGCAGCAGCTCACTTTGATGCCCACAGAAGCTGTGTCCCAAACTTGACACCCTCTCCCCAGGCATGTCCACCTCATCAGGAGATGCAGTGGTCCTCCCACTGTGCATTGGGATTTAAGGCTGTAAATACATGCTGGACACACACAAACATGGTCAGCTTCTAAGAATGGGATAAGCTTTTAAAAATCCCCTAGAGCTTCCAATGGGTCTGTAATTGGAGGGCTAGAGAAGATTCATCATGGATAGGAACACACGGTAAAGGTGCCTGCCACAGGGAACATGCAAAACTCTCTCCAGATTCCTACCAGTGTTAACAGAAAAGAAAATGTAATGTTTTATCATTACTAGTGAGGGTCAGCTCATTTGATCCAACACAGAGAAGAGTGAGTCAGCACAAACCTCCCACCAGAGCAGAACAAACCACCTGGGTTCCCAGGCTGTGCTCCTGCAGCTCCCCTCTGCTGGGGGTTTCCCTGCTCTCTGCAATCCCTGCACAAGAAAGTGCTGCAAGGCAGAGCAGTGACCCCCATTTTCACTTGGTCTTCCTCAAAGTACAGCCAAGCCCCAGCCCTCCCACAGCAGCAGATACAAAAGCACTGACCATCAAAGGCATTTCCCAAAACGGGTGAGGTCACCACCAGGCTCCCAGCACCAGTCCCCACGCTGGGTGTAAGCCCACCTGCCATCCCTAGCTAGAGCTGCAGGTTGCCAAGGCTTCTTGTCTCATTCAAAACGGTTATTTTACTGGTGCAGAAGCCCGTTAGCAAAACCTCCCTCCTCATTTCCCAGGCACTGCACACTCAGGGCTTCTCCCATGTGTCCACTTTACCTGTGTGCCTGTGGAAAGCCATGATCAGCAGCCTGAAGTCCCCAGCAGCCCCTTAGGTAATAGTTCAGAGTCTCTTGGCTGATCAGGAGCTGCCCCGTTTGATACCATACATTTAAAGGGAGGCTATTAATATGGACAGGATCCTACCAGATGTCCACTCCCCTCCCCACAGATCACAACCTTAATCCCCCCCTGAAAATTCTTACCATTTTAGGTGATCCGAGGGAGAAGAATAGGATCCAGAGACCTCTAGGACTCTGTAGGCAACATGTAAATACCTGCCCAGCTACTCAGCACCCAAATTAGTCCCAAAGGCAGAGTGTGCCTCAGGAACTTGACCCCATGCTGGTACTATGTGGCCTTGGCTTTAGAGCTGGATTGTGTCTCATAACAGACCTGAGCTAAATTACAGACCCAACGTTAATTCCACACTGCCCTTGCTGAAGGGAGGAGGCAGATCACAGCCCCACAGGGGCCAGTGGGGCTGCAGTCCCAGGAACCAGCAAGGGGCTGTCAGGCCGATAAATGCCATGGGTTATAGCTCTGGAAACCCAACTGAGGCCACAGAAGTAACAGAAGATACCTTCATGGGGGAGGTTAGACTTGCCTCCAACATGAGGGTCATGCTGAAGTTTTACTGCCAGTAAAACTAACATTTCTGCTCTTCCTCCAACGTTCACCCTAAGGAACTCAAGGCATTAACTGTCCAAAGTGAGAAAGCCCCTGAACTGCAGCAGTTGGAAAGGCAGCTCTGGTGATGATGGCACTTCTCTAGTGTCTAACACCATGACTGGGCCTGTTCTCCAGCACATGGCTCAGAGAGCACTGCCTTGTGTCTCTGTCCTCTCTACTCAGGTGTCTACGAAGGTCTCTGGAAGACCTCAACTCCACAGCTCCAAACTGACCTGTTACCACCCAAGTCACAAGAGGGAGAGGAGGGAACTCTGGTTCAGGATTCCATTCCACAGGGATACACAGGCTGTGGCAGCTCCAGGTTATGAACTGGTGGCAGCCCAGGATCAGGGCGAGGGGCCAGGGACACCCAGCTGCTAATCCTGCCTTGACACTGACTCACTGCACAGCCGTGGGAAAGTCAGTTAACCTCCCTGACAGCCACTGGGAAGAGCCAATGTTTATAATTCCTTCCATGGAGCCCATCACAGTGGTTTCTGGCCTCCAAACAGCAATCAGCATCTTCAGCCTGAATGGCTACAGCCAGAAGTGGGAACATCTCCTGAGGGCTCCTCGACCACACATGCAGCAGGGTGTGCACAGCCACCAGCCCCAGCACTGAGCTTGGTGACTCCCTGGGCCTTCACACCCATCTTAAGTTGCTCAGATGGCACGTGTGGAAGGAAGGTGAGCATCCCACCAGCATCCTGACATCTCCAAGTTTCCAACATGGCCTGGAAAAGGCCAGACTTGACAGCATGCTGTCCCAAAAGAGCACAGAGTGGATCCACTCGTGTAGCAGATTTAGGCTGGGAAATGTGCTAAATTACTAGCACACTGAAACACTTTGGCTAGGAAAAAACCAACATTACTCTGCCCCAGCTCCTCTATAAACTCAAGCAAATTGTTTGCATAATGCAGATGGTAACAGGAACCCTAACAACTGGTATTTTCCTGTGCTAATCTTGCTGCACACAGTGCAATATTTACAGACACGAGTTCATTTTTGGCAACGCATGTAGAGTTTGCACCATTAACCATTCTCATTCCTGCCTAGTTCCCTACAGAAAGCCCTGGCACCCTCCCACACAGCAGGCATTTCCTGCTTCCCACCCAGAACATACTCATACTCCTGTGCAATGGCAGGAGCTGCCACATCCCCTGCAGGGCCAGCTGGGGAGCAGCAGTGGTTTGGCAGCCCTGCAGTGGCACGCAGAGAGCAGGGATGGACACTCGGCCATCAATATGTTTCACGTGCACAAATGCACCTGTGTTTGCAGCCTGACAACAGGGCTGGGCTGCAGGAGGTGGGAGAAGAGCTTGGTCCCAGGTGGGGCTGGAGCATGCTTCTAAATTGTGCTAGAGCAGCATCTCCCTTTGCTTTCAGAGTGGAGGTCATTCTGACCCTGATCCATCAGCACTCCATATAAAAGAGGAAATAATTTCAGAGGGAAAGACAGATTTAGATGAGACATTAGGAATAGATTTTTTCCTTTTGGGGTGGGGAGACTCTGGAACAGGTTTGTCCAGGGAAGTTGTGAATGTCCCCTCCCTGTGCTCAGTCAAGGGCAGGTTGGATGGGGCTTGGAGCAATGTGGTCTAGGAGGAGGTGTTGCTGCCCACGCAGGGGGTTGGATCTAGATGATCCCTTCCAACCCAAACTTTTCTGTATTTATATTATATATTTCAATAAAGGAAAGCTTGGCCAAAAACCAGGAGGAAGACCCAGCGCTGCTGATACCCCTGAAGCTTTACCATTAAACTCCCTGGAATAGCATTTAATGGCACAGCTCACTCAGCAAGGCCTCTGGTGATCCCCCAGAGCAGTCTGTTATAAAGAGCCTGTTTTGCCTGAATTTGTGGCCTCCTGGGACAGCGCAGCAGGGACAGGCTGGGGAATAACCCTTGCTGGCAGGTCAGGGCTGCTCTTGTTTTCTTGGCTGGTTTTAGCCATATGATCTTGAACAATTCTCATCTCCTCACCAAACTCCTCCTTTGTACCTTCAAGCCCAGGTGATTAAACACTCCAATGGTGCAAGGTATAACACAAGTGCTAAGGAGGGATGCCATTGTCCTGTGAAATATGGCAGGGAGCAGAAACCTCCAGGAAAGGGGGCACACTCCAGAAAAGAGGTCCATTTCTGCCAGCCAGGCACCACACACCCACCAGTCCCAGAGGAAAGAGAAAAAGTGTTGGTGGGTGAACAATGGGGTGTGCAGGCTTGGGTGTTCAGGTTTTTAACATTAAACCTGTCCTGTAGGTTTTCAGGACTCCAGGGGGTTGTTGTGGACACACTGACCCCTCCACACAGGTATGGCTGCACAGCAGCATGGCTGGGGCATAGTGTCATCCACTTGGATAGACAAATGATTCACATTGTGGTTTCCAGAGTATTTTCTTGCCCTAACAGTCCTGCCAGAAAAGGTCTGGGCATCTCAGCTTGCTCACACATCCTGCTGTCACTCAACAGGCAGAAAGTCCTAAATAGAGCCAGTGTAACCCAGGCATTGATGAACTATTAGTCACCATCATCAAAGAAAGAAGCAGGCAGCAGTAAATAAGAGCAAGAGGGGAGCACCTGTCCACCTCTGAGGGTAACACTGAACCTTCTGCTTCCATCCACACTGCTTAGCAGCGTCCAGTAAAGCTGCACAGAAATGTACACCAGCCCTTCACTGGGCTCCCCAGGAAACACAAATCTCTTACTGCTCCAAAAAAGAGCCTGTCTTTGCACTTGGGGCTGGCCCATCAGTGACCTGGAGGAGTCAGCAGCCCCACTGCCACAGAAACACTGGGCAGGATCCAGAGACCCTGTGAGCCACCCACCATCAGACCTGAACCAAAACAGGGCAGTTCCACATCATCTTTTCAAACAGTGGAAAAAAGGTATTTCTGTTCAAAACAAACAGTTTATCTTTAAAGCATCACAAAAAACACTTCAGAAGATGCAAAACCTGGTTTATCCACCCCATTCTGCACAAAAGGATGTGCCTCTGCACCCCTGGAGCATCCTGCAGCCACACAGGAGAACATGAGACAGAGACACTCTGGTTCACACATCCTCACCCAGAGCAAAGCCAGCCAGGACATCACTGCAGTGACAGGGGGATGAACATTCCAGCCAGAAAGCAATCCCCATGGAGGAGGAAAGCACACGGTGAAGGCTGAGCTCCTTCTGGGATGTCACATCTTTGTGCTGAGCCTGCCAGTGCCAGGGAAAGCTTTTAGGATCAGCTATGGAGGCAGGGAGAAGGAAAGTGGGAATAAATTTTGAGAGAGGCAGACACAGACTGGGTAGCCCTCCATGAACTCAGATATCATGTGAGTAGAACAAAAGGGAGAAAAGAAAGGAAGGATAAGAAGAGAGAAAAAAAAAGAAAAAAAAAAAAGGATGAGGGAGTAGTAACAGGCAGGAAAGAATGGCCCAGAGATAGCAGAGCTGGAAATAAAGCATCTGAAACACAGCAAAACTGGTAAGAGATATAAACCAGGTTTTTCCCATCTGCCTCCATCCACAGGCTGGACTGTATCCAGGACTATTCCCATGACAGCTCCAAATTTATTTCCCTTCTGCCATCTGCTCTGTGGCTCCCCTCCACACAGCTCCTGACTGGCACTTCTTCCCATCACCTGTTGCTGACATGGCAGACCTCTGGCTACTGCTGAAAGCCAAGTGACACGAAGGCTTGGGGGAGAGGGTCTGTGCAGGAATCAAGAGCTGCTTGGTAGACCCAAGGCTTTGTTCAGCTCCTGTCCCCCCTCCTGGCTATGTCAGGGTTGGAGAACAGAAGACACAGCATGATTGATGGGGTGCAGGCACCATGCAAACCCACTGCAGCAGCCCCAGGACATGCAGGCTCCAGAGAAAACTGGGGTAGGAAGAGGCTGCAGCAGCATCAGCTGCTGCACAGGAACAGCTTCCCATCAGCTGCACCAAGAAACTCCAGTTCCTCCTGTGCCTGCTGCCTCTCACTGTGGCTCTTTGCTATCTTACAGAGAAGATGTCATGTCTTCCAGCACCAAGGATGCTGAGTGCCTGCTGGGGTCCCTTGAGTTAGATGCAGATGTTCACTACTAGCTCAAAAAGGGACAGTCAGTCCCAAAAGGCTGCAGATTTTTTTTAATTTTGTTTTACGTTTATTGTTTTTTTTAATCTCTTAAGACAGTCTAATGTATTAGTCTTAAAGGCACTAGGTTAAACATTGGCCATGTTCCCCTTTCCAGCTCTGTCTCCCACATCCTTCTGCCTTGAATCAGCCTGCAGAGGGGAGTCTGTGCGCAGGCTGGAGGCTCAGCAGGCTGCCCACAGCACCCTTGCACTCACTGCAAGTTGGAAATGACAGGTCTGGATGTGCCTGGACATCAGCCAACCCTGAGGAGACACAATAACTTCCTTTGCTTCTCTTGAGAGAAAGATCTACATATACTGCC